ATGCCCCTCTGTCCGATGGGCTGACCTGTGCTTCTGGTTTTAAGGCATGTGTCCCCTCGGGCTGAAGAGGCCTTATTTTCCTGGATTGTCACCGAGTCCTGACACGGGTGTTTGATTGATACTCTGCCGCTCATCGTGCGAGCGTCGCTCCGTGCAGCATGGCTTCAGTGTGATGGATGCTGGCCACACGCACCTCGCAGCCCCGGCGGGCTGCCCGGACCTGGGTTGGCTCAGTCGGGCTGCTGCCCGCATTTCCAGAATCTTGCTTTTGTTCTCTGTGACTGACTCATGGTCATCCTAATGGCCTTTGTAAGTAAAAGGGCCTCTGACAGGATCTACTGACCGTGGAGCACTTTAGGGACCACGGCTGGTCACACATCCTTCCCTGGCTGGATGCTGGTGGGCCATCACCCGGTCACCCCTCCTCAGATCCCAGTGTTGTCCTGCAGCGCCCTCTCACCTCGTCTCAAATTTGGAGGCTGATAAGGACTGTCTGGTCTGCCCCCTCAGGGCCACCCTCAGCTTCCTCCAAGCAGGCCCATCCAGGAGCCTGCATTTCACCATGTGTCCCAAATGTGCATGGGACCTGCCCTTCCCTGCGTGACAGCCACCAGCCCTGGAGTGTCTGCCGCCATGCACCCCCGTCCCCAGCACACTTCCAGGGCACTCCCCTGCCTGCACTTTTCACCGGGCATTTTTTCTCCCTTTACGGTTCCCGGAGGCTGTCTCCCAGGCTGTTACCTTTCTACCTGGAAGCCCCCTGTGCCCTTGTGAGTCTCTCCACTGCCACTAATGCAGCCAGGTGGGCTCCAGCCCCACCCAGGGGAGGGGAAGGGCTGAGCGTGTGGGGTCCCCTCGAATCACCCAACCTCTCTATGGGGTGGCTGTTATCGTCCCCAGCTTGCAGGTGAGCTCACCCCTGCGCACTCTGGGCAAATGGCCATTCAGAGAATAGAGGAAGGCGGGAGAACACAGCCAGAAAGTAGCTTATACATCGACAGAGACGGATTCCAGACACCAAGTTCAGAGAGTGAGAGACGGAGATAGACTCAGCCTCCCTCCAGACACCCTGACCCCCCCCACGCTGTGGAGCTCTGCAAATCTGGCACTTCAGAAAGATTGTTGTTTTGTTTTTATTTAAATGGCCAGATGATTCCCAAAGCCGAGATCTGGGAGAACTGAAACGATGTCCCGCCAGCCTTCCTTCCCTCATTTGTAACAATGACGGCAATGGTGCCATCAGCACCCGATGGTGGCTGTGCAGCTGGCTTCTCAGCGAGCTGAGCCAGGGTGCAAATGTGGTAAAAAGAACGAAAAGGCTGCTTTGGAGGAGCCCAGGTAACGCCCTGGACCTCTGCCTACAAGCACACCAAGTATTGAAGCAAACAGCAAAATCTGCATTTTCATGAATGAATCCGCATCAAATTCTGAAAATACTGAGAAACAGAAAACCACATGAAACTCTTCCAATAAAAAGTACTAGAACATCACACAAAATTACTGAAAGTTCTTGGAGAAGGGGGGGGTCCCATCCCATGGGGGGCAGGGGAGATTCTGGACGCTGGTGTGCTCTGCAAGCCACTGCGAGTTGGGCCCATTCTCCCTTCTCCTGTCCACACGTGCGCACAGCCGGCAGGCCCGTTCTTCTCCTTCCTTCACAGCGGGGGGCGGCCTCTGGCTGACCTTTGGGTGAACCTGGGAGAGCTGCTTAAACAAATGAGAGGGACGTGGGGCAGCTGGAGTTGGCTTGTTCTCTAGCCCTTTCCTGTCCGACCGCCCAGAACGTTGGATTTAACATCTGGGGCTCCAGCCACCATTTTGAGCCGTGAGAATGGAAACCGAGCACTGAGAATGGCTGCGGATGGAGAGGACAGGGACCTCGAGACCCAAACTCAGTGTCCTCTGACGTCCTTCCTTACGCAAGTGGGCAGAACACTGCATCTGTTGTTTAAACCACTGCCATTGCCAGCCCCATCTCTTGCAGTGGACGTAGTATGTAGCTGACTTTATGTCGTCAGGTGATCGATCAGGCGGGGCTATCTTCATGTATGAATCCATATGCATACCATGTGTTTAGCACGGAGTGCGATGCAAAATAAAAGCTTAATAAATATTTGGGTGAATGGATAAATAAATGAAGAATCACAGAGTGTGATCGACAGAGTGTGCCAGAGAAGACTGCTTGATCCTGGCTCAAACAGCACAAACACGATAGGCAAAAACTGATAAAACGTATAAGAGAGAGATGATGGTTTCGTTTTAGCATAGGTGACTGCATGCTATCAACCACTGAAAGAGCCACTACACCTTCAGACAGAAATCTTGGGAGAAAGCCTCACTCAGATGAACTGCTAGGATTTCTGCACAGTAACTCATGTTCTGTTTATTATAATGCATCGTTTTCTGAGGAAAACACAATGAATCTTTCATGGTTCTGGCCAGGCCGGCGGAGGACATCCGCCTGAGTCCCACGCGTGGGAGCTGCCTGGCAGTGCCTGGCGGGGTCCTGAGGCCTGCAGGGTTGGCTTCCTGACAGCTCTGCTCTGAATAGCCACACAGCCAAAGTCAACTTCTCATGCATGCAATGCAAAACAGCGCTCTTTGTTCTGTCAATTTCTCATTTTTCCCATGTTTTCTAAAGAGAAAAATGACAAGTAGGAACTTGGGAGAAAAAAATAACTGGCTTTTAACTGGGACTTTTAACCACTAATTACAACATAGGAGAAAATTCTTTGTAAATCTAAAAAGGAGAGAGAAAACTTTAAAAAAATTTATATAGATGCAGGAAAATGCCTTAAGTAAAAAATAATATCCTATTCCAACTTGTGGAAAAAACCAGGTGCAGAGCAACCTGGGGAAAGGATGAGGATGCCTGTGGCTGCCAGCGTGAGCCACCGTCCAGGTGCGTCCCAGGTTAAGGACAGGTGTGCAGAACGGAGAGGAATGAGCTGACAGCAACTTGTCTGGAGAGGCACTGGACGTGCCTGAAAGGGTGTTCCGCGCGCGCGAGGATCCTGCGTGCTTTCCAGGAGAGAATCGGTCTGGAGCTCAAGAGGGAAACTTCTGTACTTAGAACAAAGCGAACACGTTATCTATTAACACCTGAAATTAAAACGATCTTCAAAAAAATTCTATACCACTTGTAGTGGATTGAGTATCGACCCCCTCCCACATCTATGGCTCAGAACAGTGACCTAATTTGGAAGCAGGGTCTTTGCGGATATTAGGTTAAGGACCTTGAGAGGAGGTCATCCTGGATTAGGTGGGAGGATACATTTCTGTTGCTTTCAGCCACAAATCTGATAATTTGTTACAGCAGCCACTGGAAAATAACACTTTTCTTTCCTAAACGATTTAGTGAAAAAGTACACTTAAAATACAGTAATGAAACCATTTTTTTCTTTACTTTCCATCTTGAATTTGTACCCAGATAGTGTTTCTCAGGACACATGGTCTCCGTTGCAGCTTCTCACCTACATCTGGGTCTGCAGCTGGGAGGGAGGCAGACGGTACGTACAAGGAGACGGCTGTTCCAGTGAAACTGTTTTCTAAATGGGTGTCACGCTGGACTTGGCCTATGGACCAGTGTGCTGCCCTTGACCCAACAAACCTTTCGTCATGCTGGAATCATGGGGCTCTCAATGCCGGCCATTGGGCATTGGGCGTGGATGAGCTGGGGGGCCTGGTCAGCACACGCTATGACCTTAGATCAACCAGGAGAGAACGCCTTGCGAAGTCCTCAGGCCCTGTGAGAATTCCGGGTGGCAGCAGTAGCCACAGGGTCATGTGGACACAGGCCTCTTCGCTTCACTGCACCCAGGACTGCCTGTCCCTCAGGATCTCAAGACAGTCACCCATGTGGACACATACACAAGCGCTGTGCCCTGTGCAGGGCCAGACCCTCACAGGCGAGGAGAAAATAATCGAGAAGTGTGTTTTTGTGGTGTACGTGTGTGTGTGGGGGGGGGAGGGGGCGCGTGTGGATGCATGTGTGTATGAGACAGCTAGAGGCCTAGAAAAATTCAGCTCCGACTTCCGCATCTGTACTCTGGTGCTGGAGGCGTTTGGGCTCCTGTGGACGGGACCAGTCAGCCACCTCTTCAGGACACAGCCATGGGCTTCGCCTTGGGGGGCAGGCGGGTTCTGAACACAGGGAGAGAGGGGCTGCCTGTGTACAGGAGGCATTATATTCAAGTCCAGTAAGCCCTGAGTGCCTACTGTGCACCAGGCCGTGTGGCAGCCGCTAAGGGCAAAAGTGTGACAGAGAAATAGGTTCTCAGAAGAATCCTTTGCGGGGGGAGGGTTGGGGGAGTGCGGGGGAGTAGAATTAGCCCCTTTAAACTCTGAGGCTTCACTAGAAGCTTCTTGTCTAAGACCCAACACTGGAACGAGCAGAGCCAGGACCCCACTGGCTTCCGCTGTCCCACGGCTGAGCTCTGCCTTGCTCATACCACAGGAGAGGCCTCTTGCTTGTACACGCACCACACACGTGCACACGCACCACGTGCACACCCCACACGTGCACATGTGCACACGCACCACGTGCACACACACCACACGTGCACACGCTCCACACGTGCACTCGTCTCACACCAAGGATGGCAAACATGGAACACGTCCCAGACACCTGCACACAGAAACAATTAAACCGCCCCTGACTTAAGGAGCGCTCTCAAGGCCTTTCATCCTCATCCTGAGCAGGGATGTGGAGGCGAGTCTGAATCCAGGGAAGGCGGCAGCACGGCTGACTGCAGACTGGGCCGAGGGCCACCCCGCAGGACGGCCTTCCAGACCGAATCTAGTTCTTTCTAAAGAACTGGCTTCTGATGTTGGGGAGTAAACCGGCTTTCCCTCCGTCCTGCCTTTCCGCCGAGTACTAACTCTGCTTGTCCGTAAGATAAACCGATGCGCTGCCCACGTGGGGCTCTGGCCGGACCGGATCTGGACACAGGGCGAGACGCCTGCAGAGTACAGGCCACAGACCCTGAAGGTCAACAACGTCAGACCCCAGAACGCTCACATTTTATTTCCTCTGAAAAGGTAATGCTGCTTCCCACGGAAACGGTGCGGCGCTGCCCAGGACATCACAGCCGGAGGCGCTACATCTGCCTCTGCTTGTGCCTGGGGTTCGTTCTGCAGTAGATGAACCACCGCCCGCGCCTCTTCACCCTGTAACAGTCCCGGCAGCGCTTCCGGAGGACGCCCTTGGTCTTGAAGCCCACCGCGGGCTGCGGGCCGGGCAGCAGGCGGCGGGCGAGAAGCGAGGCGCCCGCTGGGGCCGCGGCGGCGAGGGGACCCGGCAGGAGCGTGGAGAGCGCGCGGGGGGCCGCCGAGCAGCGACTCAGCTGCAGCAGAGGGTGCAAGGCGGAGGCCATCCTCCTTAGGAAAGCGGCCGCCATGTCGTGGCCGGATCTGCGGGGGAAACACACAGCCGTCAGCGCTGCTTCGGGCGTCTACTGACCGTGTAGAGCTTCGCTGTCCCACTGGCTGTGGCTTCGGCACACGAGGCCGCGGGAAGGGCCGGGGCTCCCCCGCTACGGGCTGCAGCGAACCCCGCACGTTCCCGATAGGCGCACGCCGAGCACCTGGCAGCGCCCTCGGTGGAGCCTCAGGCGTGGCTGCAGGCGACCCCGGCCCGGCCGGAGGTCCAGCCCGCTCTGAAGCGCTCGGGCCAGGCCGAGCGAGGGGCCACCCGCCCCGCCGAGCTCCGGTCGGGGCCACTCGGGCCGAGCAAGGCCCGCGGCGCCGCCACGCCCGTGACAGCGAGGCCCGCGTCCCGGAGGAGGGTCCGCAGCCCCACGGCGCGGTCACCAAGCCTCCGTGAGCTCCGGCCCGCACCCCGCACCCGCTAGGGCTGAGGGACGGGCGCATGGGGCTGGGCCGGCCGGCGGGGCCTCCGGGCAGGAAGCGGCGGCGTCCCCGACGGCGTCGCACCGGGGTCGGCACGGAACCGCGGCGGGCCGCGTCCCAGGCGGGCCGCGCAGGGCGTCCGGGAGGAGGCGCCGCGGCCCGACACCCCGGGCAGCCTCAGGGCTCGCGCACGCCCGCGGGGTGCAGGGCGAGCCGGCCCCACGCTTCCCCGCGACCTCTGACCGCGGTCCCCCCGGGGAAACTGCAGCCGGGGGTCTCGGGGCCGCGTCCCCCCGCAGTCCCGACCCGGCGGGCGGCTCCGGGGGAGTCACGAGCCCCTGGGCCCCGCCGCCTCCCGGGCCCCCAGCCCCTCAGAGCCCCCGGGACGCCTAACCTGGGAAGAACCCGCTCGCGCCCCTCCGGCTGCACGCCTCGCCCAGCGCCTGCGCAGTGGGGCAGAGACGCCACCGCCAGGCGTCTCCGCCAGAAACAAAGATGGCGGCGGGGTCACGTGGCGCCGGCGGGGTCACGTGGCGCGGGGCTGAGCCCGGAGACTGAGCCGAGCGCGCGCAGGATCTGAGGGCGCCGGGTTCGTGCCCCGCCTCCTTTCCTTCCCCAGGCCCTGCGTCCCCAGCCCCGAGCGCCACCCGCCACCTGGCGCCCACGAGTGGGGGGGCGCTCTTGAGGGGATGCAAGAATGGGAACCAAAATATATATCTAGAATGAAAAAGAAGTCACCACCAAGTAGACATTTAAAAAACTGACAAACACTAGCGTCAAAACAAAAGCTGGAAAAACCACCTGCTTGGATTACATGACACTCCAGGAAACCTGTGGCGAGGCTCAAGGGAACGAGGGGAAATAGACGAGGATCCAACAGGTTGCAGTTAAACATCCTTCTCCCGCCAACATTCTGTTAGGAAACATTTGAAACAGGGACGTTGAAAGGCTTTTCCGGCGACCGCCCAGGTACCCACCCCCCAGGCTGCACGTCGCGCTCCCCACACTGCCTTTCCGGGGACGTGCACCCGCCAGGTGAGCCCGGGGCCGAGTGCCCACCTGTGGGCACTTTTCCCTTCCTGCCCTCACCCTGCCCGCTTCTCCTCCACCGCCCCGGGGTGGCGTCCGGGCTGCAGGTGCCCTCAGCTCCGGGAAGGGGACGCGGGTGGCGACCCAGCCCGGCCCTGCCGTCCCCATCGCGCCGGCTCCACGCACATGCACGGGTGGCTGCGGCACGAGGGGCAGGAGGGAGGCGCGGGGCGCCAGCCGGGGTACTGCCCAGGGGCGCCCCGCTCCGGAGCGGTGGGCCCGTCCTGGTCGCGTGGTGGGCGGGGCGGGGGGGCGTGACATCGGCTGTGTTGTACTGGCCGTTTCGTTGGGGCCCTACAGCAGAAACCCCAAAACTGTCCCCGCGGCCGCACGGAAACGCGCGCCGCGCAACGGGAACGCACTTCCAGTTCCCTCTCTAGGCAGGGACCCCTCAACAAGAACAGCTATGTGCCTCCCCCCATGACGATCGATTGCCACCGGATGCAAACAGCGCCTCTTCACTTCCCGTGCTCCCGGCCCTCCCGCTGGTGAGAACCACCGAGCCGTCTTTAAGGGCTACGGGTCGCACCTGCCCGATCGCAGCGCGCGTGCGCGCCTCTCCGGGACGCAGTCAGTCCCGGCCTCGCGGGCCTTCAGGAGGCTGTGCGCATGCGTCGGCGCTGGCGCGTCGACGCGCCGGGTCAAGGGTCAGCCCGCAAGATGGCGGCGGCGGTGACCTTCTGCCGGCTGCTGAGCCGGAGCGGCGGCGCGGCGGCGCTGAGCCTGCCCCAGGGCGCCAGGCGCTTCGGGGTGCGGACCTCGCCAACCGGGGAGAAGGTCACACACACCGGCCAGGTGAGCGCTGCGGCGTGGAGGGCGTCGGAGCGGCGGAGCCCCGGCCGGCCCCGGTCCTCCTGCCGCCCACGGCGCCGGGTCCTCTCGGGGCTCCCGGGCCCCTCGGCGCCCCAGGTCCGCGGACGCCCCTCGGCCTCTGCTCTCGCCCGGCGGCCCTCGCGGGCTCGCCGCCCTGGTCCGTGGACGGGTCGCGGAGAAGCGGCGGCTGAGCCCCGCGCCGGCCCCGCGTTCCGATGCCCGTGGCCCCGCGGACGGACCCCGGCGCCGCCGTCAGCGACGCGCTGGCCGAGCCCGGGGCGGGGGGAGGGGGGGTCAGCCGCGGGGCGTCCGCAGGCCGCGGCGTGGGCCGTGACCTCGAGGGCCGCTGCCGACCACGCCGGGGAGGCTTCCCGTTGGACGTTGGTCGGATGTTTGAATGTTTGCGTGACTTTAGATGAAACCCGGACACTTGAGCGTCTGCTGTGGTCCGAAACATGAAAGCAGCGCTAGCCGCTCGCAGCCATAACCCAAAACAGAGAGTGTCAACGTTGTTGCATGTGGGCACCCGGGAGAATTAGAGCGGACGTAAGCCCCAGCCGCGCGTGGAGAAGGGGTGCGTGGGGCGCCGCCTCCGCCCGAGCCCGCCCCCCAAGGCAGGGGAGCGCCCGTGTCCTCTCGGCGTCTTGCTGGAAAACGCCTCTGCTGACCCGGCTGTGCTTTGCCCCTCGTGGGTTGCATCATGAATGGCCTCAACGTTGAGAAAAACACTTCGCTGTCATGTTTATAATTGATACTAAGTGACCCCTTTCAGACTCAGGCTGTAAAAATCACATACGGTCTTTCTCTCTCCAGGCTTATGATGGTAAAGACTACAGGAAAGTTCGATTTGTAAGTCGTCAGAAAGAGGTAAGTAAGAGATCTGGGAAAAGCGAGGTGAGCTTTCATAAAGCCTTTATAGAACCAACAAGAAATATCACTATGTAAGACGTAAATAGTTCTCCCCAAACTGTGAGCTCCCTGGAAGCTCTGGAGTTCAGCCTGTTTTCTGAATGTTAAATGTGTCTCTGTCTGGCTTGGTTCTTTCCCCCGGCAATAGGCAGCACCACATCTTGGAAGTGTAGCTCTGCTTTATATATAAGTGAGAGCGGGTTTTCTTTCGTTTCTGCGTCTTACACTCTGGAGACCCTCAGGTTAATGTTTTGTCCGTAGTCACGTTGAGTCGCTCCTTCCCCTCGTCAGCCTGCTGATTATTCTTGTTAAGCTTTTCCTAAATTGTGTGTCCCTTCCCCTCTGATCTGGCTTCCGTCATCCATTCCCAAAGTCTGATTTCCTACCCACTCCTGCTTTGTGGGTGTTGTTGGGGCCGGGACGATGGCGGAGACAGAGTTCAGAATGCTGATGGAGCAGCTTGGAGCAAACGGTCCTGGGGTCATGCGGTGGCCTGGTCGCAGCTCCGTCTCAGCTCTTCCGATGCCTTAGCAAGACCTGCGTCTGTCACACACTCCTCTCCGCTGGACGTTCTCCTGTGGCTTCTAGCTTCTGACTGCCGTAGCAGGTGGCAGCTGGGGGCAGAAAACCGGACAAAACCAGAGCTACTGAAGCTGGGAAAGTGCTGACGGCGTTGCCTGCTCCCTGTGAGCTCTCCCAGGTCCAGAACTGGCCGTGGCCCTTGTCCTCCACCAGCTGGGGGTCTCTGGGGTCTCCTGTTCGGGATCCTGAGTGTCCAGGGGCACATCTTCAGGTTGGAAAAGTTCTCACCATGTCTGTAAATGAGTAGGAATTCTACTCTGGCTTTTGTTCTTAAAACAAAAATTTGGCTTTAGTAGTATTTCAGAGTTATTTTAGTTCCCAAGAGACATTCTTGTTTTAGAAGACTTTAGGAATGCTGCACAATTGCGCAGAATGTCCAGTTGCGCCCCTCGTCCCCTCACAGGGCTCCCTGTTGTTAACATGTGGCACGAGGGAGATACATTTGTTGCAAGTGCTCATTGAAACCCCGATGATACAATAGTGTCATCTCAAGACCGCAGCTTACATCAGGGTCACTCTGTGTTGCGCGCTTGCTGGGTCTTTACCGGTGTACGGCTTGTAGCCACCATTATAGGAACATACAGAGCAGTTTCATTTTCCTCAAAACCCCGTGCGCCACTCATTCATCCCAGCTTTGAGCATTTTGTCCAAACGCAAGTTAAAAATTAATTTGGATGAAAGTTTCAGTTTTATGATTTAAAAATTATACACGTGTGTATACACATGTATGTTTAGCAGTGGGGTTGTCGGAAAGGTCATGACATGTTTTTTCTATGTTTTTTGTTGCAAAAATGCGTCATGACTTTCCTGACAACCCAATAAATATTATTATTGGGATTACAGTTAAAAACACTTTATATTCTGAATAATTAAATTAGGGCTTTTCGTTTATTTTAAACATAAATTTCCATGAATAGGGTCAGTATTTTACAGAATATTGATTATTCGACTGGGTTTTTTTTTTATACTAGTTTTTTTTTTTTTTTAAAGATTTTTATTGGGGAATTGCGGGGATGGTAACAGCGCTGGGGAATTGGGGGAAGGGGGACAGACAAGTTGCTGTCCTTTTGTTCTTCAGTCTAGTTGTGGAGGACGTTGCTTCACTGGTCCAAGTTGGCACCATCATTGCGCTCCTCCCAGGCGAGGCTGATCAGTCGCTGGTTTCTGGATGGCCGCTCACTGCGGCTGCTGGCCGCTCACGCTGGCTGCTGGCTACACACGGTAGCCCATGGCAACCCACTGCAGCAGGGGCTGCAGCCTACGCCATCGCTGGCGACTCACGGCAGCCCAGCTCCAGGTTGAGCTGTTGTTCAGCATCTTAGCTGTAGAGGGCAGTGTCACTGGTCCTCATATGTGGGATCCAAACCGGGGCCCTCTGGTGTCCCAAGCCAGCTCTTAACCAACACGCCACTCGGCCGGCCCCTAAACTAGTTTTAATGTTTCATAGAATCATATATTCATATTTTGTATTTAATGGATTTAATCTCAGTTTGATATAAGGGAATAAACTTTCCAGAGGAACTGTCACGCCCAAAAAACATGAGTTAAAAAAATAGAACAGCTTACTGACAGATGAATAATTGAAACCTGAATGTCTTTATGCCCAGATTAGTGGATCAAGAGGTAGGTAGGTTCATTATTATTGGTAGTATTTTTATGTTAGTGACGTGTGGGGGACTCATTTTTACAGCGGTGGGATACTTTAGAGTGTGTGACACACCACATGCTTACGAGAACACTGTGTTTATAGCTGCTGCGAAGTGTGTGGGCTCCTGGCGTGCTTTCCGCGTGGGTTTTCTCGGGAAGGCCTTCTCCTGTCCTTCCCTGGGGCCGGGCAGCTCACTGCAGCCCGTGTCTTAACCTGAGTGGGAGGCCGGGCCGTGGCTGGAGTCCTGGGCCCTTGGTTTCCCTGCGGCTGAGCTGGGTCCCGGGAAGGTGATGTTAGTCACGGGAGGCTGCCGTCCTGAGTGACAGGGCCCTTCCCACAGGAGACAGCTGGTCTCTCTGCGTGATGGGAGCTTTTAGTGTGGCCTTTGTGTCCCGTTTGTCACTGAGGTAGCACCACGTTGTTTACACCATGAGGCCTCGTTTGTATGGCGTGTGGCTTCATTTGCAGGGGAGCGGAGCGGGCAGGGAGAGGCATTGCTCAGAGGAGCTTGTGAGGTAAGACAGTGTGTGTGAACCGGCTGCATTTCCCAGTAACTCCTGCGGTGTTTCTGGAACTAGAACGTTAAGGAAAAGCTTACCAAAACCATAATCTGTAGCTGACAAAGCTTTTGGAAACTACTGAGACCTTTCCGAAATGTCATCCACATTCTGTGAGTTCAGGGCATCTGAACCTGGTGAGGTTGGTGTCACCTTTGTTGGTGGTCGGTGAGGCCTCTCTGTGAGTGTGAAGGGCTCCGTCACTGCGCTGTGCGTCCTCTAGACAGAGGCAGCCGGCTTGGGACAAACAGTTCACTGAGCTTGATTGTGCTCTTGTTATTTTCAAGTTTTATTAAAATTAACCCCCCCCCCACGTGTAGAGATTTATGTGTGCCTCATCTTTGTTCCCTTGTCTTCCTGAGAGCGGCTGGCCTCTGGTGGAGGTGGGTTTTGGATGGCCAGGGCTGCCGGGGCACAGCGGCTCTCCCCGGTGTGATACACAAGGACTGAGATGATTCCCGAGCCCGAATCTCGGTAACCTCAGGCTCCGCTCAGCGGCGCGCCTCCTGGCCTCGCTTGCCTTGTCTTGTCTCCACTCAGCCGCCTGAACTCTGGTGGCTGCCAGGGTCCCTGTGCGGGAAGGGCGGTGGCGCCCTCCGACGATCTGTCCTCTGTGTTGTGTGCTCCGTGGCCTTCAGAGATGGGCGACTTCGAGATGTGGGCCTGGGTCGGTTAACGATGGGAAGAGAGGCCGGGTTTGAAGATGCGCCTCGGGTGACATCAGCCTTGGGACCTGGGCTGTGTGTGGGACACAGAGGGTGACTGTGATTGCAGTCGATGGCTCCAAAAGGGAGAAAGCTCGGGGAAGGCGAGCTGGGCTTCCCCACAGGACGTGCCGCGCGGGCGCCACAGCCCCGGGCCTGCGGCTGAGCCTCCGGCCGTGTGCGGAGGGGCCGTGAGGCCGATTCGGCCCTTTCCCTTTACGCGGCCACTGCCGTGCCACCTGTGCAGTTTTCCCAGTGTCACGTGCTTTGTGTCCTGCAGTCACCGAGGACAGCTCTAAGTGAGGCAGATACGACCAAGACGTGTCCCCATCCAGGGTCCCAAATCTGTCACAGTAGGACATCATAACAGAAATCTGCCAAGCGAGGATGTTTGAACTGCCGTTTTGAAACTAGCCCAGTGAGAAGTTAAATGTGGTGCATACACGTGCACACGTTAAATCTTATTTGTGTGTTTTGAAGATCTACAGTTATATTTAAAGGGAAATATACAAATATTCTGCCTGCTGGCGGTACATGGATGGGGGTGGGGGGTGCACCTGCAGTTTAACTTCATCACAATGTCCAGGTTTTGTACTTGTCTGTACAAGACTTTTTCTCGTTCCAGGTGAATGAGAACTTTGCCATTGACCTGATAGCCGAGCAGCCCGTGAGTGAAGTGGGGAGCCGTGTGATAGCGTGTGACGGTGGTGGAGGGGCGCTGGGCCACCCGAAGGTCTACATAAACTTGGTAACGTGACGTGTAGGTTCCCGGCCCTCACTGTCTCTGTCCCGTCCTGTCCCGTCCCGTCTCATCCTGTCCCGTCTCATCCCCTCCTGTCCTGTCCCCTCCTGTCCTGTCTTGTCCTGTCCCGTCCTGTCCCCTCCTGTCCTGTCCCGTCCCCTCCCCTCCCGTCCCCTCCGTGCTCGCAGGGGGGCCCTTGCAGCGTTGCTTTGACAGCACACTCGCATTTGATGTTGTGAAAGCGCCACCGGGCAGGGCTGCACACGTGTCCGCCACGTGCCGTGTGATGTGCTGTGGTGCTGGCGTTCTGGGCTCTTGTTCACTGATGCATACACACTCGGAGCCCTAGAGGAGAGCTCTGGGGACGTCAGAGCAGAAAAGGGGGCCACCAGCTGAGGCTCAGCTGGGCGCACGGGGCCGCGTGACCCACAGAAGGCCGTTCTGCTGGTGGCATGAGCGAGCGGGGACCCCTGCCCCGCGGGGACCCCATCCGCTCAAGTCCATCGAAGTCTGTGCTCAGGACGAGACCCTGCCCTTTCAAGGGACCGAGCGAGGGCAGCCGTGGCCACTGTGCTGACACTTCCGTGCCCACAGCGGTCCTCTGAGCCGACCTGAGGCCGGGGCCCGAGCACGCACAGTTCTGGGCACAGCCGTGAGGAGGTGCAGCGGGTTTCGGGCTGACAGCACGTTAGGGTTCGTGCGTGTGCTCGGTGTCCCGTGCGTAGCTGGTTTAGGTTTCAAGTTTAACGTGGAAATAGGAGATCTTTTGGATTTTTTCAGGACAAAGAAACAAAGACGGGGACGTGTGGTTACTGTGGACTCCAGTTCCAACAGCAGCACCACTAGGCGTCCGGTCGCCTGGGCCTCGGCCGTGTCCGTTACGTGTCAGTGTAAAACGGGCAGACGCTCGTGCTGTGTGAGTGCGTCCTGGTGCCAATAAAGCCTCTTGTCCAGGACGGCCAACCTCAAGTGTGTTTCTTTCACAGCACGGACATTTGAAAATGAGCGTCACTTAGAAACATGCACTGAAGCAGGGTCCCCGTCCCGCGGCGCGTGCCAGACGCTTCTGTAGCGTGTCCTTTAATCCATGTGACCGCCCGGGAGGGTGGGAGAGACGGGGAGAAAACGCGACTGTTAGCCCTTCAGCGGCAGTTTCACTTCCTGTTTTTCCCAAACCGGGAGCTGCTGTGGTCACACACAGCGTCCCAAATCCACCACCTGCCCCCGTCCTTAGATCGCCTTGGAATCGGTTCGTCCAGACCCCGTGTCTAGAGTAAGTGACCAGGCGGCAGCAGCTCCCAGAGCCAGTGGCTGTGACGGCCTCCGTCGTGCAGGGAGCCCTGGCCTCCCCGCTCTAAACCTCTCTGTGCAGGGCACGTGGGGTCCAGAATGACATCATCCAGGTGGGGTGAGCCCTGGCTCCCCCGCACTGAGCATCACTGATCCCTGAGACTGTGAGGAAGTTTCCCACAGAAGCAGGGCTCTGTGGCCTTGGGGGTGGGGCGCCTGATGTCAGGGCACCGCCCGTATGATGTCACAGCTGCCCCCACAGCTGCCCTCCACTCTGCAGGAGTGTGGACAGTGGTGACAGTCCCAGATGTCACAGCGTGAGCCGAGGCGGTGAGGGCTAGGCCCCACCAAGGGTGCCGAGGTCACTGACGGGTAACGGCCTGTGCCCAGTGCCACCCTGAAGGGCACCCCTGAGTCCCCTCTTCTCTGCCCGGCATGCCAGGGGCGTCAGTGGGCCCGCCACATGGAGAAGGGCTCCTGTGCTGACGGCAGTGCCCCCGTTACTGTTGGATGGAGGAACTGTGTGCTGCCGCTTCTCGGTCCCACAGGCGCTGGAAGCTGAGTTTGGACACCGGGTGGTCCAGCCAGAGCTGTGCCGCTCGCTGGGGCTGGTGCTGGTGCTGTGGCTTCTCACACGGGCCAGAGGCCTGGAGTCGGGGCCCCGGCCCTTGTGGTCCTCGGTCCCGCCGAAGACGGGAAGCGTCTTCCAGGCCCCTCTCCGGCCCCTGGTGGTGGCTGGCCTCCATGTACACACATCACTGCAGTCTCCGTTCTCAGTGGCTTCCCTGTGTCCCTGTCTTCACGTGATCTCCCCCAAATTCACATCCCAATAGTGGATGGGACAAAGGCCGGGACTGCATAGCCACTGCCCGGGGGGCTCAGGGAGGGGCCTGTTTGGGGGCACCTTCATCAGGTGTGCAGCCAGGTGGGCTCCTGGAGCCCAGCCGGCCCTTCTGCCCACCGCCTCGGCCGGATCTCCAGAATGTGTGCCATGGGACAGCTCCCCTCGAGGAGCCAGGAGACGAGTGAGGAGCCTTCCTCTATGAAAAAGTCTGAATAGACACAAGAACTTAAGTAATTTGCACAAGAAAGTCAAAAGGTTACATCTACCAGTTAATCTTGAGACATAAAAATGAAAATAACTTATTTCTGAAGCCAAATGGAAGCAAATGAAAACCCATTAGATCAGGGGCATTCAAATGCGGTATTTCCTCAGCTGGAGGGGCACAGCAGAGGAGTTGGGGGGCCCCAGCCAAGGCCTGGCTCCGCCCCGGAGGCGGTCCCTCCTCTTGGGGGGTGGTGCCATCATGCAGCTCTGAGGGACAATTGGTGTCTTGAGTCCAGTGAGGCCCTGGCCTCGGGACTGCCAGCAGGCACTTGGTGTTCCCCCACTACCTGTCTCCCCGCGAGCTTGCCAGGCCCTGTTACTTCCGGTTTATAGGCGAGCAAATGGGGAGGCCTGGTCGGTACAGCTCCGGAGCCCCTGTTAAGGGCACAGCCCTCTGGACCCCTGGGACCTCAGCAGGATTGTTCTCAGCGCAGACCTATGTCCTCCAGACCACGCGGCTCACTTTCCTGTTTGGGGTTCACTGAAAACAAGTAAAAATTATAACCACTTGACTTTTACAAAGAGGAAATGCATTATTGCATCAAAATGACCAGTTTCACACGCGCCAGTCTGCTCGCTAGGGAGATGTCCCAGCTGCGTGGCCACCCAGGGAGCCTGCCGGCAGTCACAGGACCATTGGCAGCGGACTCCACTGTGGCCCAGGCCATCAGGCACCCTCCTCCCCTCCGTCCCCCATGCCTGGCATCTGTGCCCCCAGGCCTCCCAGGGGAGGACGCCTTTGCCGTAGCCCCTGGAGCCTTAACACCAGCGACGTGTCCCTGAGTCCAAGACCCCTTCTCCAATCACAAGTGTCCCTATGAAAGTCCTGGCAGCTGAAAGGAAGACACCGCGTCTGCTCTGAGCGGGTCAGGTCCATGAGCACAGCCATCACGGGCATCCCTGCGTGAAGCGGCCGCTCAGACTGGGCTGTGTGTGTCTCCGCAGATGCCCAGTGACGGCCACATTGTAACAAACACGCACGGATGGCAGGAGAGCGTTCTTGACCGATGGTCCTGTCGAAGGATCGTTTTTACAGCAAGCTCTTTTAGCGAAGTGAGCCTCTACCCCAACTAATCTGTTTTCTCCAGGAGATCAATAATAACGCTGATGCGGGGAGAGGGGGCGGCCCCGTCCTTTAGGAGCGAGCTAACTGGCCGGCAGTGTCATCGTTCTCCATGTATGTCCAGGCTCGGACGCTCGTGGCTTTCTGACTTTGGACATCAGCAGGGGCCAGCGACGTGGGTGAGGGGCAGTGTCGGGGTGCGGGGCAGCGTCAGAACAGGCAGTGAGTGCTCGCGGCTGCCCACGCCTGAAGCCCAGGAAGCCACTGGGGACAGACGATGATCGGGAAACACGTGCCCAACGTCACCCAGCAGAAGCTGAGGTTCAGGATGAAGTTCTGTTTAGGTGGCCGGCCTGGGCGCCACAGCAGCACGTGGGCGCAGGGCACAGCACTCGGGGGACCAGCCCAGGAGCCCGTGTCCACCTGGCTGCCTGGCCTCCTAATCTCAAGGGTGCCTGAGCCACATGCCTGTCACCTGGGAGTGTCACCAGGGTCCAGTGCTGGATGCTGGCCTTGGCCTGGGAGCCTATGTTTTGGGAACAGTGCACCCTAACGTTTTTGGGGTTCACACTCCCTCTCATTTCTCCTCCAGACATCTAGTACAGACATGGTTAGAGTCCATGAATGGACAGGGAACGGAGGCCGAGCCCTCGTGAAACGCCAGCGTGGACAGGAGAGGGCTGGGTGTGCGGGGGTCAGCTTGTGAGGTCAGACCTGTCCCCGCCAGAACCCCTCCATCTGGTGGGCTGTGGGGGGTGCCCTGGAGTCCAGGAGAGGGGGACAAAAGCCACCCAAGTTGTTTCAGGGGCAGGCGGTCCCTGGAGGGGTGAGGACGACTGGGCGGGCCGAGTCTGGGGGCTTCCCTCCCAGGCTGTGGGGGCCTGGTCCCTGCCCCGGAGGCTTCTGTGTGGGGGTGGGGGGCTGGGAGGAGCGGGACCCGCCTCCCCCGTCACCGCTTGGAGCCCCTCCTCATGTCCTCTCATTCCGTGACCCAGACACGAGGAAGACCAGAAACAGCTGCATCCTCTAGGACTCTGAGGAGCTTTCATGGGAAGAGAAACTCTTTCTTTTCAGGTTTTTCCTGGGTCCGCGTTGCACAGCTATTTTGCCTTTTTTCCTGGAGGGTATGTCACACTGGCAGCGCTGTGACCGCGCTAGAATCCTGGAGAGCTTTATTTGAAAAGGACATTAATTTCACTGTAATAACGTAATAAACATGAAAAACATTTGTGGTTTGATGGTTCCTGGAGAGAATGCAGAAAGCACCTGGGTGCCACCAGACAGTCAACCTCCCGTAAACGGAGCCACGGGTGCTCGCAGCCCTGTGGCCGCTCTTCCAGGCTGCCGGGCGAGATGGGACCCGCTCCTGTGGAGGCCTGAGCATCCGGGGGCAGAAGTGGTTCTTTGAGGGCTGATTGGAGGGGAGCATTTCACTTCCCATTGGGTAAGATAGCTCCAGTAGCTCCAGTGGCTGTGACGCGCCTGCTGGGGCGGGCTGTGCGCCATCATGGGGCTCCTCCCGGCCTCGCCAGATTCGCCCCTTCCACCAATAGCCAGAGCGGTTTTGAAAACGTCTGACATGGGGATCTGGCCTAATGCAGGGACAGAGCAATGCAAACCCATCCTTGCCCGAAAGGCGAGTGCAGAAGACGGCCCACTGCACATGGACACCGGCTCGGTGGCCCAGGCCTGCAGGCCAGCGCGGGCTCCCTGGGCGGGGGTCTGAGTGTGGACACTGCCAGCCCCGTCGGGCCGCTGCGAGCCCCTGCCTGTCCACCAGAGGGCAGTGCTGCATAACAGGCCCCTGGGTCCCAGCGGGTCGCTGACACCCTGAAGACTCTGTGACAGGGAGGCCAGGGCCATGTGGAAACAGTGCTTTCTCTTAAACCAGCCCTGGGAAAGGGAGAGGGAAAAGCAGCCCATTGCAGGTCGAGGACGGCGGGAGGTCACTGCAGGAGGCTGGCCCTGGCCTTGACCCCAGGCAGGCCTGGATTCACACCCCCCACCCCAGTGCCTTCACTGGGACACCCTGCTGGCCACCCTCCCACCCCGGGGCTTTTCCTTTGGCCGGCAGAGCAGCACGTCCAGTCCGGGGCATGGGCAAAGAGGCGTCCACAGAGGAGGTGACTGCAGAGGCCCCCGCTGTCCCTGGCTCCATGGCCACAGGGTGCTGGGTTCCACGTGGACACGGCCTCCGGCAGAGTGGGCATGTCCTAGGCGGGCTCTCAGGAAGCACCGCCTTACCTGGGGGATGGTTGGCCTGGCCTAGGAACGAACCTGCCAGGCCAGAAGCCCCCACAACGCGGGGAACCTTCCTGCACGGGCGAGGAGGCAGCCGGGCCTGCCTGAGCCTGACTTTTGGGGCCATGCAGCATTTTATTTTGGCATTTCTCATAAAACAGAGCCACTGGTGCTCTGGGTCATCAGGGTGTCTGCCTGCGAATGGAGGCGACGCTCTGACAGGAGAGCCTGGCATCCCTGCCTGACTGATGGCTGGACCCC